CCTCTCTTCTCGGGTTTGAGAGAGGAAGGGGAGGAAGGACAGGTGGTCAGCCACCTCTCTGGCCACAAGGCACAATCGTGATGGAGAAGGAGATGGTGTCATTCTCGAGCCACGCTCCTGATATTCCTGATATTCTCCTCCAGCAGGGTCCCCAAGGTTGGGAGAAGTGAGATTCTGGGGCAGGATGCCACCCCACAAGTGTCCCTCCAACCAGCACGGGAAATGGTGCAGGGGAGAGGCAAGCCCCCCACCTCCCTGCCATGCACCATCTACGGGCTAGAGCCTGTTTAGTCCGGAGGCTCAGTTTCCTCCCGTGTTACCGGCGAATGGGCCCTCTCGCCTCCCAGGCTGACGCAGACATTGGGCGAGGACCTGTCTCCTTTCAGCCCCATGCCTTTTCGCCTGGACCCCCTCCACCCTCTCACCGCCGTCATTACTGGACTTGCAGGTCCTGCCCTGTCATTTATCAAAGACGCTGGCTCCTGGCTTACAGACTTTCTCTACTCCATGCCCTCTGTGACCTCCTGGATGACATCATCGGCCACGCAGATGCTGACCTGTGGCCCCGTGGGTGCCCACCTCCAATGGCCTCACTCCCTCTCACTTCACCCCATGTCCTGCTCTGAACTTATCATCGCTTGTAACCACTCCACCTTCAGAGACTCTCAAAGCACTATGGCGGCGGTAGCGGGAGTCTGAAAACCGGGCAGACTGGCCTCCTATAACTCATGGTTTCCAGCCATTGAATGTCTTCGATACTCGCAGAAATCCTCTTGGTTCCTTTGGTCAGTTCTTCCCACTTCCTCTAATAATTTCAAATCTTGGGACCAGCAGATGGCAAAATGGTTATGTCGCTGACTGGGGTTTGAGTCCTGGACCTGGTGGCTTGAAACTCACTCTGGGTGCATGTGCATGCATGCCCAAAACCCCAAGAGGAGAATGGAGAAGGGATTGTGGCATGGTCATCCCCCCTGGGGGGTGATTTCTTGCTTCTGTCTCTCTGTCTCTCTTTGTCTCTTAAGGAAGTGCACACACCCTATAGCAAAAATCTCTCTAACAAAAAAATAAATAAATAAAACATAAATAAGTAAAATAATTTAAATCTCCAATTTCCTCCAAACCCCCCTCTCATCTTCTCCTCTCAGCAGAGGTCCCTGCTTCCTCCTTGTCAGGAGGTAACTGCCACCTGACAGGAAGTTCCTCCAATCCTGAGCAACTGAACTGCAGCCCAGCATGTCCCCTGCCTCCATCTCTCCTGCCCCCATGGAGGGGCCACTTCCCTGACCCCACTTTGTCCACCCTGTCCCCCAGAGGGATCTCCCAGGGCTGACTAGAGAAACCCCTCAGCCGGTCCTCATTCTCTTCCAGCGGTCATCCTCCCCACCTTTTCACAGCCCAGCTCCTCACAGCAGCCGCCTGCACTACCTTGTCTTCCTCTCCGCATTTCTGCGTTAGTCTCTTTAGCTGCTATTAAAACCGCCGTGGATGGGGTGTCTTATAAATGACAGACCTATTCCTCCCAGTTTTGGAGGCCGCGTCATCCCAGATGTAGACATCGGCGCTGGTAGATTCGGGCCTGGAAGGGCTGGCTCCCTCATTCATAGCTGGCTCCTTCTGTGTGTCCTCACTGCTGGGTACTGATCTCATTCATGACGGCTCCACCCTCGTGACCTAATCACCTTCCAAAGACCCTACTTCCTAACACGCCAGGGCTTATGATTCCAACATGTGGGGGACACCCACATCTGTACTTTGGCACTCCCCTTCATGCCTGAGCCCATGTGGCCTGGATTTCTACACTTACAAATCTCCAAGACCACTCTCCCTGGAGCAGCAATGGCCACGTATCCACATTTTAAGGCGAATGTCACCATCTAACCATTGATTGTCGTCGCAGCTTACCCACCCTCCTGTGCTGTGGATACACCTGCTGGGTCTCTCCTGCCTCTCTGGCCACTCCTTGTGGTCTCTTTTACAGAGTCAAAAGTTCACCCGTAATTCATGTGCTGAGATTTGGTTGTGATGGCTTGAGAGGTCCATCGATCGTGTTGAAAGGTGGAGCCTGTGGGAGGAGATTAGGATTGAGGTCATCCGGGTGGGTGCCCATGAGTGACTTCTGGTGGGTTTATAGAAGAGGGAATGAGGGGCCAGCAGGTAGCATGGTGGTTAAGGGCTCTCTGGACTCCCACATGGTCGACCATGGTTCAAGTCCTAGCCCTGGCGACTTGCTTTCTTCCTTTCCCTCTCTCTCACTCTGGCTTAATCTGGTCAAATGAAAATAAGTAAGTAAATAAATAAAGTTAAATAAAAGCATTCTAAAATAATAATGATCACAAATGGAATTAAATAAATAATTTTTTTTTAAAAAAAAAAAGAGGGAATGAGACAGAACAGAGGCGCAGACAAATGATGTGTGCACGCCTGCCTTCCACCACGTCACAGCGCCTGGACCTGGGCCTCTAAACTGCAAACTGAATAAACCTCTACTCTCTAAATTACCCAGACTTGGGCTGGCAGGTGGCATGGTAGTTGGGGCACTGGACTCCCCACATGGCTGACCACGGTTTGAGTCCCAGATCTGGTGACTTGAAACTCACACTGGGTGCATGTGCATGTGTGCCCCAAATCCTAGGAGGAGAATGGAGAAAAAGGGGATTGTGGAGTGGCCATCCCTCCTGGGGGGGGGATTCTCTTTTTCCCACTCACTATCTCTCTCCAGTGAGTGCCCACACCCTATGGCAAAAACCTAAAAAAAAAAAAATTAATAAATAAAAATAAAATGAATACCAGACTCAGGTATTTTCTGTTGCTAACAACAGAATGGACTAGAACACTCTTCTTCACAGTCAGTCTCCACAGCTTGGAGTCCTGGGCCTTCTTGCTGTCTACCTTCTCACTAGCTAATTTCATCCACTCACACCTGTGGGTACATTACCTGTTACAAAAGCACATAAAATTCTCACTAGGGTCTATAGATGCACCTGCCATCTGACATCACCCTGGGGATGCCTCAAAGGAGACCCATGCTCGACAGGTCCTCAAACTCGAAAATAAGACAAAACCAAAAAAGGGACCAGCAGTTGGTGTAATGACTACGTCACTGGACTCCCAAGTAGTCGACCATGGTTCAAGTCCCAGACCCGGTGGCTTAAAGTCACGCTGGGCACGTGTGCATGTGTGCCCAAGATCCTGAGAAAAGAATGGAGGAGAAGGGATTGTGGCATGGCCATCCCCCCTGGGGAATGATTTCTCACTTTCTGTCTCTCTGTCTCTCTCTGTCTTTCTGGCGAGAACACGCGCCCTATAGCGAAAACCTCTCAAAAAAAACCAAAAACAGGTCTTCAAACTCATGGTCTCCTCAGCCCCCTCCACCTGCCAGGCCAGACGGGAATGCTAGTGGTGTTACAAGGCAAACTTAGGGCCGGGCATGATCGCTTGTGGCATGATAAGCCAACTTCTGAGACTACCCGAGTTTGCTCAGAGGAAGTTATTTGGGGAGCCATCAGCTGAGAGAGCAGCAGAGTCCAAGACTCTTAGAATAATATATCCCTGAACTGGGCAAGTAGGGCATATATTTATTTATTTGAGATTGTTGCCTTAGGGTATATATGCTCCCCAGGGAGAGAGACAGAGACAGCGAGAGGGAAAGTGAGAAATCCCCCCAGAGGGGATGGTCACACCACAATCCCTTCTCCATTTTCTTCCCAGGATCTTGGGCACGCACACACACTTACCAAGTGTGAGTTTCAAGTCACCAGGTCCAGGACTCGAACAGCGGATGGCCATGTGGGAGTCCAGTGATGTAACTGCTATGCCATCTGCTGGCCCCAGCCAGGCTTTTAAACATAAGTCAGGAATGTGACAGTGTGAAGGTCTGGGGTTGGACTCCAGGGGCTTTCCAGACTTTTCTACCGTGCCATCTTTAATGGATCGTGCTGTTCTCTTGGTGCCGGGCAGTCTCGAGGAGGGTCCGCAGTGAGATGGCATCATCAGATCTGTTCTAGGTAAAGGACCACTGGGCCTCATCAGTCACGGATGCTACTTGTGACTATATCTTACAAAACCTAAATAGTTAAGGCTATCGTGGGCCAGCCGGCGGCATGGTGGTTGAGGTGACTGGATCCAACATAATCAACAGCATGTTTCAAGCCCTGGGACCAGCCACTGCAGAAATATGCTGTATGAGTGTGTGTGTGTGTGTGTGTGTGTGTGTGTGTGTGTGTGCTGTGCCCAAAATCCTAAAAGAAGAGAATGGAAGAGAGAGGATCATGGCCTACCCATTCCCCAGCGGGGTGGGGATGTTTTTCTCACTTTCCCTTTCTCTGTCTCTCTGTTGATGTTTTTCTCACTTTCCCTTTCTCCGTCTCTCTGTTTCTCTCTGGAGAACACCCACACCCTCTAGCAAATTGAAAACAAAAAAGCAAGGGTCAGCAGGTGGAGGTTAAGGCACTGGATCCAACATGGCCAATTGAGCGACTCGAGTCCTGGACCCAGCAGCTTGAAAATCATGTCAGCACGTGTGTGTACATGACCAGAATCCTGGGGGGGAAATGGAGGAGCAGGGATTGTGGCTAGGCCATCACTCCTGGGGAGTGATTTCACACTTTCCTCTCTATTTCTATTTCTGTTTCTGTAGCATACGCACATGTACTACAGCAAAAAAAAAAAAAAAAAAAAAAAAAAAGAGAGAGAGAGAGAGAGAGAGAAAGAAAAAAAGAAAGGAGAAAGAAAGAAAAGCAAACAAGCAAGCAAGCGCTCGCATCGTCACGACAGGGCCACAATTACAAACCATCGCGGCTAGGCAGTACGGGTGAGCCAGGAGGGGGCGAGCATGAGCTGGTTCCACTGTGGGAAGGAACCGTCCTAGGACTCTAGGCATATTTCTTCTCCCCTACATGGTAAATATTATGTTTATGACTAAACAAAGAAAGCATGTTTTACTTCTCAGGGGCCAGGTACCAGCACCGCCAGGTCCCAGCTTTCCCACAGCCCTTCCGCCGTGCCCCCTGCTCGGCATCCGGAAGCCTGGCTGCCCTTCACCCACCCTGCTCGGTCCCCTGGGTGGGATTTATGACTGACTGCCCTGCCGCCTGCCCCAGGGCAGTAAATCAGGGCAGAGCAGAGCAGGAACCACCCCCAGGTGCAGCATATAACAGGGGAAGGGCTCGGGGAGCCACAAGCCTTCCGTGGATCCCAGAGACAGCCTCAGACTGAGGGGATAATGGACGGGCACAGAATGCCTCGCTGGGGACTCCTGCTGGTGCTCTGGGGCTCCTGCACCTTCGGTCTCCCGGCAGACGCCAATGGCTTCCAAAGGTAACTCAGCAGAGTGGCAGGGGGAGGACAGGGGTTCTGCGTTCCTGACACCCCAGATTTCAGATGTGTGGTGTCATCTGACAGTCTTCGTGACCAGCTGGGCGGGAAGGTGGGGTTCTGTCCAGAGAGGTCAAATGGCTTGCCTGCTGTCACTTTGCCTATAAATAAGTGGCCCTGGTTGGGCCTCGAAGCCATACCTTTTGATCCTGGCCCAGAGCACTACGCTAGGCACGTAGGGAACTCAGAGATGATCAAGACATGTCCCCTGTCCTCGCAAAGCTCACCAGAGTTACTGGGTGTGAGGCCCAGCTGTGTGGCCTAGTGGTTAAAGCAGCTGGCCCCCGAATGTCCGACTGCACGGTTTAAGTCCTAGACTTGGCCGCTTGGGAAATATGCCAGGTACGTGTGAGCGTGTGCCCAAAATTTCTAAAGGAGGGAGAGAGGGAAGAGAAGAGATTGCGTGCTGACCATTCCGGGGGGGGGGGTGCTTCCTCCTTCTCTCTCTCTCTGTCTCTGGTGAGCACACATACCCTCTAGCAAAGAGGAAGAAGACAGGTGTGAGTACGGTTAGCCAGGCAGAGAAGCACCACGATACAGTGGTTCAATGCAGGGCCTATGGAGTTGGAGCGTCTCGTTTTAAATTCTGCTCCACTAGCAGAAAGAACTAGTTCTCGAACCATGGACAGGTTTCCCAAGCTCTCCAAGTCTCAGTTTACCCTTTACTATTTAAAGTGTTCATTTAAAATTGTATCTGTGTGAGAGAGAAAGACACTCCCGACAGGGTCTCCACACCGTGGCTACTCCCGGTCTCAGCCTGCCAGAATCTGGACCTGGCGTGTGCCCAGCACGTACAAGGAGACCTCGGGACGTGAACCTGGGCTCCTCCATGTGGCTGCGGCATCGTAGGGCATTGCCTTACTGCTGTACACTATAGCTGGCCTTGGTTTATCATTTTTTAAAAGAATTATTTTATTTAACTTTATTTATTTCAATTTGACCAGAGAGAGACAGAGCGAGAAGGAAAATGAGAAGGCAAGCCACCAGGTCCGGGACTTGAACCGCAGTTGGCCATGTGAGAGTCCAGCACCCTTAGCCACCATACCACCTGCCGGCCCCCTTGGTTTATCATTTTAACAAGGATAAGGGGGCCTGGGGCCAGCAGATGTCGTAATGGTTGCATTGCTAGACTCTCACATAGCCGACCACAGTTTGGGTCCTGGATCCAGCAGTGTAAAACACACCAAGCACATGTACGTGCGTGCCCAAAATCCCAAGAGGAGAATGGAGGGACTGTGGCATGGCCATCTGCCCTGGGGCGTGATTTCTCACTTTCTGTCTTTCTGTCTCTCTGGTGAGCACGTGCTCTGCAGCAAAAATCTCTAAAAACAAAACAACAACAAAAACAGAGACAAGGGGTCCAGCGGGTGGCAAGGAGGTCGCGTCAGCTGGATCCCACATGGCTGCCTACCCAGTTTGAGTCCTGGACCCAGCAGTCTGAAAATCGTGCCAGGCACGTATGTGTGCATGCCCCAAATCCTGAAGGCAGAATGGAGGAGAAGGCATTGCAGCGACCATCCCCTCCGGAGGGAGATTTCTCACATTCCCTCTTTGTCTCTATCTTGAGAGCACCTATGTCAAAGGAAAAAAAAAAAAAGAATAGAAGGGTACCTCCTCCTTAGGCCTGCTTTGAAGATTAAATGAGAGGGACCAGCAGTTGGCATAATGACTATGTCACTGGACTCCCATGTAGCTGACCACGGTTCGAGTCCCAGACCCAGTGGCTTAAACTCAATGCCGGGCGCATGTGCGTGTGTGCCCAACATCCTGAAAGGAGAATGGAGAAGAAGGGATTGTGGTGTGGCCATCCCCCTGGGGGGTGATTTCTCACTTTCTGTTTCTCTGTTTTCCTGGTGAGCACATGCACCCTATAGCAAAAACCTCTCTCAAAAAAAAAAAAAAAAGATTGAACGAGGTAAGGCATAAGTGTCGCGCTAAGCAAGCTGTAAGAAGCTGGCTGCTCTTAGTACCATGGGGTAGATTTTTATGAAAGTTAACAAAAGGCTTAAGGCAGCCCAAAGCAGGGAAGAGAAAGGCCTATCAGCCATGCAGTGTCATGCTCTGTGGGAGCGGTGATAGGTTAACCTTGGAGAAAGAGAGGCAGAGTTAGAAGGCCTAATAGAGAAAGGGGTTTCCAGTTTGGGGTACCGCGGATGGGCCCAGAAGTCCTAAAGGTAGGAGGGCAGGTTTTAATAACAGCAATAGTGGCTAAGCTATGAAATGCTTAGGAATTCACAGCACCTTTTCACATCTCATCTCAGATCATGCCCCGAACAACTCAACACTCCCACTTTACAGCTGAGAACACTGAGGCTCAGGGAGGTCTCGAGTAAGTGCTGCCTTCACATGCACTGGGCTTTATGTTTCCATGACCTCTCTCCCTGGCTCCAAGGCGCTCAGAGAGGGACTGTTAGGGCACGAGAACAGGTGCTTCCCAGCCGCCCTGCCCTAGGAAAATGTAGCAGAAAGTAAAAATATCCTCCCCTGTTCTCCTCCAAAACAGAAGATTGGAAGAGGGCAAGGGGTGCAGAGGGAGTTGGGCTTTTGGCACCTGCTGTGTGGAGTGCCGTGCGAGGCATTCTGGGAGTTCTAAATGAACGAGCTCCATCTCAAGGTGCCGTCACTGTCCCACGTGTACACGATGCACGTTCACTGAACAGTGGGCAGCTGGTTTCACCTGCGCAGTAACTCTGAGATAGAGACCCCCTCTCTCAAAAGACGCCCAGAGACGTTTGGTAACTTGCTCAGAATCGCACAGCATGTCCCCGACAGCTGCTGTGTCCTCCCATTACATAGCATGTATGCATAGGCTGTGCAGGGCGGGCCAGGAGACTCGGGAAAGGGAACAGGAACCCAGTGAAGGAGGACACTCCTGTGGACTGGAGTCCTCACAGCAAGCTTCCCGGAGGGGGTGCTGCATGTTAGGCCTTGAAGGATGAAAGGACTGCGGGGAAGGAGAGAAGGAAAGGATTTTCTGAGAGGGGACTGGCGACAAAGCAAGGTCCAGAGCCAAGGCAGGTAGGAGTAAACAGTGGAAAATGACCCTCTGCCCCGTCTGTAAAACGGGAATACTAAAATCACTCACTTAGGGGAGTGGCTGAGGATCAAATTAAACACTCATTGTATGAAATATGTTGTGACCATGGGCTGGCCCTATAGTCTAGTGGTTAAAGGAGCTGGGTCCCACAAGGCAGACTGTGGTTCAAATCCAGGTTCCAGTGGTTTGAAAAACATGCTGGACACGGGTGTGTGTGCCCCAAATCCCAACAGGATGGAGAAATGGGACGGAAGGAACTGCAGCGTTACCAATCTCCACCCGGGGTGCTTTCTCTCTCTCTGTCTCTCTCAATTAAAAACAGTAAACTGTGTTAGGAATAGGACAAAGCACTTCCGTTACTGCTTCATGGTAATACAGTATCCTGCCATGGACAGGATCAGGAGGGGGAGCAGAAGGCATGGAGTGTGGGAGGAACAGGATGACATCGGGCCAGGACCGCTGCTGAGAGGCTTTCTCCGTGTGCGAGAAAGCCTACTGCCAAGGTGGGCTTCGATCCTGGGATACCCCCGGGCATTGCTGGAGAGCCAGGATATCCCCTGGCCAACAGCTGGAGACAACTTCTCCAGCCTTTAGCAAACAGCTCCATGTCAGAGGCCAGGGCTCCATGTGGGAAGGAGGGCCAGACGCACGCTGAATCCCTCACACCATCATTTCTGCATCACCTTCTCCTAGGCAAGCCTTCATTTCCTGGTCTACAAAATGGGAAAACGATGGTCATTCGCAGGGGTGCTAAGAGGTGTGCTAGGTCCCTAAGTCTGCTTCCCTAAGGTGATGGGAAAGTCTTGGATGAGAAGGGGAGGAACTGGAACTGGGTCCGACATGTCTGAGGATGAGGTACAGGGGCATTCTGGAGACGCTGCCTCTCCTCCTGCCCAGCCCAAGTCAGCTGGTCCACTCCACCATGACCCTGGACCCTGGAGGGGCAGCTGCCCCCAGGCTTTCTGGCGACCTTGTAGACGGCATGGGCATCTGCTGCCACCTACAGGCCACAGGTGGCACTGCATCTCCTGGCCCTCACCTCCTTGGAGGGGACATGTTGGAGGTTTCCTCTCTGCCTGCTGGGGTTCCTCCAAGGCAGCGATGATCTTAATCTTTACAGCTCCAAGATCCAGCACAGTGAGGCACCGAGTAGGTGTTCACCACGTGATTACGGGATCAGTGGGCAGCTACACAAGCAGCCTTGTCTTATCAAAATAAGATCCCAGGACTTGGGGTCAGCAGGTGGCATGGTGGTTAAGGCACTGAACTCCCAAGTAGCTGACCATGGTTCAAGTCCCAGACCTGGAGGCTTGAAAATCACAGCAGGTGCAAGTGCATGTGTGCCCAAAATCTTGAAAGGAGAACGAAGGAGAAGGGACTTTGGCATGGCTGTCCCCCTGGGGGGTGGTTTCTCACTTTCCCCTCTCTCTGGCAACACATGTGCTCTATGGCAAAAACCTAAAAAATAAAGAAAAAAAAGGAGGAAGTTAGTTGAGGACTATTTAATACCAGCACAGGTGGTTCGCAAGTTAGGAAATGCCTTCCGAAGCCCTAGCACACGAAAGGGGAAACTAGACACTGGGCTGAGGCCGGGGGTACCAAGAGCAGAGACGGCCTGAGGGACCCTGCAGGACTCGGGGGAGGACAGGGCTCTGTTATTGTTTCTTACTTCACCTTGGGCCAGGATCTTCCTCAAGAAGATGCCCTCCGTCCGGGAAAGCCTGAAGGAGCGAGGTGCAGATGCGGCCAGGCTCGTCGCTAAATGGAACCTGTCCAAGACACTGTCCTTGGGCAACAGCACCTCCCCCGTGGTCCTCACCAACTACCTGGACGTGAGTGCCCAGTCCGGCCCTGCCCACCCCCACCCCACTCCCACACCCCCGTCTCCTTCCTTTCTTGAACCCAAGGCTTTCTCCCCCTGGGGC